GAGACAGTTTCTGATGTGTCTAAAATTTGCTAGGTTGTATTTTATGAGTGAGTGAGAGACAGGGGTTTGAACAGGTGAGGGGAGTTGTGCTGATGAGGAGGGAGTGCTTGATTAGAGTGAGGAGGGTGAAGCTACACAAAGACACACAGAACACACAAGGCAAAGCCTGATCGTGACAGGGAGCCCCGTCTGTTGTCAGCAGCACCAGCTTTTCTAATGGTACCTTTTTCTCCACAAAGAACCTCTTCACCGCATTGTAGATGTCAATTCCCCTCGTTGTTGTATTCAGGAGCAGAAGTGTGAGGACTTCTTCTTTTGTGGAGAAATCATCAAACACCATTCGGATCAACGTCATCAGCTGAGCTGTACTGGTGCTGTCCACGGACTCATCGCACTGGATGCTAAATCACCTGCACTTAACCAGATCCCGGTCCAGTTGCTCCGTCAAGTTTTCGGACAAAGCCGACCCTCTTCTAACCATCGTACTTGCCCCCAGTTGGACATCGGAGAGAGTGGAGATGGTATCGGGACCATTCTTCTCGTCTTTGAACACAGTGTTTGCAGCTATCATCATTGCTTCTTTCAAGACCTCCCTGTCCAAAAAGGCTTTATTGTTCTTTATCAAAAAATTCACAGCTCTAAACGAAGCTTCAGTTGCTTTTTGTGATTTTATCATCGGTCTGGTGAAAAAAGATGTTTGCCCAAAGCTGCCTTTAATTCACTGGCTTTTTCTGTCCGTAGTGCGCTGCTAGGTGGGTAGTTAGCACGGAAGCTTTTGTAACACATTGTGCCGCTTTGCCGTCGCAACAGTTACCCCGCAAATGAGACACAGATTTTTCTTTCACTGTTGTAAAAAATAACTCTTCCTCCCAATCATTGTGAAAATAGTATGTTTTCTTTCCCTTTCGGCCATGTTTTCTTTAGTTTGGGGGGTAAAAATCACATCTAGCTCCCCAGCGTAGCTCCGCCCGCTTCCTTGTCTCAGCAAAGAGTGAGATGGCGGTTTATATGTTGAATATTGAACTTTGACTTCAGACAAAGTCAGAGTTCATATATACATAAAACATTTTTGTTTTTAAAATGATATATTAAATATTAGCATTTTAAAATCTACATTAATGCAAGCATTTTTGATTCAAAAAGAACAGCAACTAAAATCTTTAGACGGAGCTCCATGGTGACTAGTGATTTTTTTTTTTAGAACATGCCTTGCTGGCGACTCACGTGCTCCCTGCGGTCGACCAGGTGCCCATGGGCACCGTGTTGGCTACCTCTGCTCTCGTGTCACTTCTCGTTCTAAGAAAAAAAAATGTCGACAGCCAAAATGCTGAACTCGAGGTTTCAAAACGTCAGTCCACAAAATTGAATTACCCCAGTGAGAGCTATTTACAATACAATACCATGTGTAACCCATTCAACAGTAAAATCCAACACATCATTGGTAGAATATATAGAGACCTGCTTCATAACTAGTAGGTAGGCTCTTTAGTCTGATACATGTGCATACATTACTGGTTGATTTGCTTATGAATACATTAGTGTCAATTCGGAATATAAAGAGTACTTTAACAGGCAAACTTGTCTAAGCTCTATGGTCCTACAAATAGGGAGGAAACACGTGCAAGGCCTGAAGAGGCCGTCAGTTTCAATCAGCCGGGCTCCACCCGGGTCCCTGATTAATCTGCTGTTAGTGCTAATAGCAGGATCACTGGAGGAGGAAAGGCTGCCTGGTAGGAGGGTGGCAGAGGGAATCACATGACCTTATGCCACTAAAACCTTTAGCTGGATCTGTGGAGAAGGACAGGTTTAGAAGATTATGACGACAGAGCTGGAGTCCTGCTTGGACCAAAGGGGTTACAACCAAACAAACACATGCACGTCTCAGCAATTACCAATTTCCTCCAGCAGGCAAACAGGCCACTCAAATGAAGGAGCATGTTTGCACTGCTTGTCCTAAAAACACTTCACACTGAGCTGTACCAAGCACAGGCTGTGGACAGGCCACATGTCCAACTAAAATAGTGGATAATGAGGTTCTATGAAGTCTAGTGTGTTCAGAGTTGGTCCGAAGGTTACTGGGCTAAATTTCTGCCCTCACTTCTACTAAAAAAGTATAATGTAGAGAGGAATCCTGACCAAGCTCTATAGAGTTATATTTGCACCTTTTGTACATTTTTAAAACGGGGGAGAAGAGGAAAACATTTTATATGATTATAATGTTATAGATAGAACTATGAAAATAAAGAACACCGTAGGCTTCGAAATATAGTGCATTAACATTTCAATGTGTATTGCAGTGGAACAGCATTACACCAAATAACCCTTATGTCTAAACAATCAGTAAATTCCTTTTCTATAGACGGGCACTCTCATCCATAGAAAAAGTCTGATTATTAATATACAACCACCTTCCTCAGAATAGTCTTACTAGAATGAAACGGAAAGGTGGGCAAACTCAAACAGTTAAACCAAAACGGGCTAAGAAGTTAGAGCCATGTAGCGTTGTTGCTGGTAGCAAATTTAATAAATAATTATTAATATCAATTTATGTAACTATTATTAGTGATTCAATTATGATTCCTAAACCCATACATTTGCATAACATAATGATGGTACTTAGCTTACTCCATAAGCCACCATTAGTTTGACAAACAGAATGTAACATAAGATTAAATTTTGGACGCCACCCAATTTTGGACAAATTGGGAAAACTTCAGAGTTAGTCAGACTTACTGACAGAGTCGTGATACAAAGAATGATACCAAATAGTTTGATAAGAATCACTGAATAAAACCTGATCAATTAAAGATTGAATTAATTAATGAATAAAACAATTACACAACATAGATAGACCTCGTTATCATGACACAGACAGACTTCCGTAGATATACATGTGTACCTTTATACATAATAAATGAATGGATAGGATTAAACTCAACATTCCAGAACGTCCCACCTTGGTCTTGTGCTGTGGTTGAGATACAACTTGCAAGAAGAGTAATTAAAACATCCAGTTTATATGCCAGGAAACTACAAGAATTGTAAACAGAGTTGGCTGTCAGACGATCCTATTGCTGTCAATGCAATGTGACCTGTGTGAATCAGATTTTATAAGATTGTATGCATAGCTCTTGTTTGTTTTATATGTTTAATAATTATTTTGCAACCTTACCTGAACCTGAGCATTAGCCACCTCTTTACTCTTCTTGGCTTGTTTGTAAAAAGCCAGTGTGAGGCAACAATGTATCATTGTCCACACGAGATGGACAGACCTACAGAGGTTCCATACACTGAGGAACGTATTATCCGTTATGTGACAAAAAGGTATGGTCGGTAATTGTAGAATACAAACATTTTTGTTATATTTGTTGACATTTTCTTCACATCTCAACAATCAATGAGTCAGATACTCAAAAAGGTTTGGTATCTCTGGCTGTCACAGGACTGTAATAAGCTCTACCTACTTACACCTACATGTCTACCTACCTACCTGTCTACATACCTGACTGTCTATGTATCTACTTGTCTGCATACCTGACTGTCTACATATTTACCTGTCTACATTTCTGACTGACTACCTATCCACCTGTCTACACACCTGCCGGTCTACATACCTGACTAGTTCCCTATCTATCTGTCTGTCTACCTTTGATGAAATCAAATAAGACTGCAGTGACCCTAAAGCATGTTTCAGATAAAACATTAGTGCTTTGATTGATTTGAATTCCTCCTCTATCAATCCCTCCTTTACCTTGCATTTGAAACTATTTTTAATGGACAATATGTGTAAACATATATCATAAAACAGAAATGCATTCGGAATATGATAAAACTTGTGACAAATCAAAATAAACAGGTTACACCATGACTTCATATTCATATTGAACCTTACCTTCATAACACTGCAGAGTTGGTTATGTTGCTGCAGTTCCTATATAGAACTCTCATGTTTGTTAGTCTCTCAGCAGGATGTATGAGCAGCTCTTGTGGCCTTTTGGGGTGGTTATCTATCACCTCATTGTCCTCATTACATATGTCTGCCTGACCTTTGCAGTGGCACTTCCATCTGTCGCTGTGGGGCATGGCTTCCCAACAAAAGCACATTGTGAGATCATTAGCATTCTTCACACTTCAAGTCTTAAAGTCATTGTTTGAAATATCTGTATTCAGAACTAACAACAGCAACATCAAGTGAGAAATACATTATGTAAAACACAAAAAGTTTTTGTTGAATATTCCAGAGAAGTTAAATTTTTACCTCAGCTTATTATTTTTAAAGGCACGGACGTTGTTTCACCTCCTTTTAGCAACATGAGTCGCATGTAACTTCTTTAAATCTGCACGTCCTTAATGCATAATTTCAGAGACCTATGACTGCGGTAACACATGCACCTTAAAAAAAAAAAGGACAGAGAGCTGATGGAAAGTTAAAACACAACATCAGAAAAGTGTATTTTCAGCCAGAAGAGATAAATATACTAGACAAGAAGAGGAAAAGAAGGACAATGATGACAGAAAAAGGGAAATCAACTGTGCAATAAGTAATGTGACAGACAGTCTTGGGAGAAACAGGTTGACATCTTTGGTCGTCATTTTGAAACACTTGAAACACAGCTGATCTACTACATCAGGACTGTGTCTGTGTCTATTCATTTTCTGTTATATTTTGAGAAACTTTACTTTCGATTAAAATGCTTGATATGGCACGGGAGAACCAGGACTGAGCAGAGCAGACTGTCAGACCCTGCTGCAGTGGAATTAGGTTTTCTAAAGGGATTCTGGTGCTCGGAAACACTACGGCTTTAGTCCACAGGGAACGCCAAAATAACCAGAAAAATAAAGTTCGTCATTGTAGCTTTAGCTGTTTAACTCTTTAGGTACAACACATGTTCTGTTTATATCATGTTTCATTGTGACTGACTGTGCAGCTGTAGTTGGAGCATTCAGAGCTATATGATTTCATGTTCTGTGCCTCTCCGTGTATTTCTTTCCCTCTGCAGCTCCACACAGACATAGACAATGGAGACAATGCAGTCAAGTACACACTGTCAGGAGAAGGAGCTGGGTCCATCTTCATCATTGATCAAATTACTGGAGATATACATGCGCTGGTGGGGCTTGACAGGTCAGTACTCATCAATATTAATAACAATTCAGAAATAAATGTCCTAAATGTAATGCAAAACTTCTAGTAGAGAAATTAGTGGCATCTAATAAACAGATTGATTTACATTGCATAGAAGAATTCATCTGAACAATGTGTCCCTGTTTATTACATTGTAATCAGTGAGTAAAGGATATCTATAGTAGCACATGAGTCTCTCCATCTTGGAATGGGTCATTAGAAATGATCTGCTTCAAACAGTAGAGTAGCAAAGACACTAGCTTAGCGTAAAGTGCTAACAACTGCTACCAACAATGATGAGCAAGGAAAAACAAACCCTTTCAAGTGTTGCTCTACTTAAGTGTTGATGTAATGGGAATCAATAAAGGTTTGAAATGTCCTTGGTTAGGTCCAGCTGGGTGAGAGAGCGTGTTCAGACACGTTACACAGCCCCCTCACTCGTTCTAATGTAGCCCTCTGCATCGTGTGGCTCAACTTATTCTTCAACACACTGCAGCGTCAACCAGCAATGTGCTGTATTGGCCAATCAAATATGATCAAGCACACTTTCCTGGTATATTACGTTATGCAATCATGGAAGGGCATACTTGTACAGTTTACGATTGTCGCTGCTCCGTTCCAAAGTTGTGAAATCCTGTCTCATAGTATTATGTAAAAGTGTGCCATGTTTTGGCAAATGAGAGGCCATTAAATTCCTTGATCCGGTACTCAAACTTGGCCTTCTAGAATCATACTGACAAGAGGCAGCGCTTACATCACAGCCACTTGTCTTTTATTTTCCACCTAAAAATGTTAAGACACCACTGAAGCAAGTTTAAATCACATCTAAATCAAAGTAGTGATAGAGGAGACCATCATTAAAGCATCATCAATGTTAGGCATTTTTTTCTGAATGTTTCTGCGTTAAATAGGCAAAAAACATATAGTATTGAGTAGCTGCTCAGCTTTGCTCACTTTGTGTCTTTTCATCAAAGGTAATACAAGCTACATTTAAATAATGACCATGGGTAGAATGTACGGCTAACCTTGCCAATCTTGCAAATTGCCAATTGCTATAATAAAGCTAACATGAGTAGTTTTGGAGTGTTATTCCTGTGGACAGCTGCTGTATAATTTACAAATTAACAAGCTAATAGGCCAAAGCAATGAGCTAATGGGAAACAGGTGTGTAAGGTGTTTGCAATTGCACTTTGACAAAAGAGGAGCGAGACAAAAATCTCTAACAGTATCGTCACACTACTGTATATTAATGCTCAGAGTATGGTACCAAACTAAGGCTGTTCATCTCTTATACCTTTGAGCACACCCATCTCAAGTGTCCTTATTTGTTCATACTCCCTTTGGCTAAGGCTCTTTCTCACCAAAGGTCCAGGCTTGTCCCATTCTGTGACTGGGATCAGGCAGTGAATGTACGTACATGTATGGCAGGACAAGTAAATGACCATTCCCTAGTTGAGGATTACTATATGAATAAAGGTTTTTTACAATTACGTACATTCAATTCTAGAAATGCCATCTGAGTATCCCATGGAGCCATCTAGACCTCTGCCATAATGTTGTAACAATACTCTGTGTCGGGGCAAATAGCAGATACAGCTAAAAGATCTAAATGCATGCACAGTGATTTCACATTTGAATCCTTTCAAGTACTGCAGTGTTCAAATCACACAGTTTGTAAGCTTTATTAAATTCTGCCAGGACGTAATCAACTATTTTCATTTCGCTTTCTGGTCAGACCCTAGAAATCTGGAGACATTTCATCAAAGCCTGGAACTTTGAAGTTCTACTGCTGATGATGGTAAAGGCATTATGATAGGTGTTTGAGACGATGCAGGTAAATGTTGACGAATCAAAGTTTTGGCAGGGTTATGGGCAGTAGTCCTTTCATGGACAGCTACGGGGAAGGGGGGAATATCCATGGTCTCAACGGCCCATTAATCCAAAACCCCAATAGTCCGAAAAAATGTCCCTTTGGGGTTTTGGAATAATGGCCGTTGGAACACTAGCATGGCACCCGGGTGGCGCAGACTTGTAATTTTTTTTACAAAAATTCTTACAAAACTGAGACCAATGTCCGAGGAGCAAATCAGCATATATCTAGAATGAGGGGTACTGGTTGTCTTTCTGGTCCCGGATCACTGACTGTTTTAGACCCTAGCTGTGTTTTGGCCTGTGACTAGTACGGTACAGAATCCTGTCCCATTAATGACCAAATTACAGTAACTTCGATCACAATTCCCACACCTACACAGGAAAGAAATTGCTTTGTCATCAATTTTAATAATCTGTCTACTATCGTCAGTCTACTAATTCACAAGTCGTCAAATATATTTTTTCTATCTGCTTCGATGCATTATATGTTACTTTTTACATTGCATTGCAGGACAAATTACACCTCCTGAATAATACAGTCATATTCACTGCTGGAGATTGACATTACAAAATGGGGAGCACACTACGAAGTGGTTAATCGTAACCAATATCATTAATTCTAACATAGACTGGGGGAAAAGCAGGCAGAAAAGGAGGGAGACATTGCAGGTGTTGCAATGACAATAATATTCTAATGTAATAACCTAATCGCAGCCCCCAGCAACGTGATCTCAGTTAGGTTCAAGAAAAACATTGCAGGTCTTAAAATAAGTACGTTAACGAAGTAAACATGCCACTAATGTCACTAACATAACAACCCTGTTGTTGAACTATAGTCTCTCTTGGTGTTTATACTACGTCACTAGCTCTGTACGTTGCATATATTAACGTGGGTGCTTCAGAATTCATGTGTCCATCACAACAAAGGACATTATTGACTTTCTAGTATTGTTTCAGTGGTGCTGACAAGTCATTTTAACACATGAAGTACCAACACCATGTAATATGCTGTTAAGAGGTTGTGATCGTGTCATGTATTTCTGTAAGATCAGGCCCACAGTATTCCCACTTTAAACCTAATCCCATACATTGTTATCCGTGGATTGTGTTCATTCGAGGGTAGTTTGTCAGTGGACAAAGAGAGGGACTTCCATTATTTCAACTATCCATATTTTGATTAGACATATTAATACTAGTGCATTAACATAACATGTGATATTTTACAGGGAGGAGAAGTCCTACTACACGCTGAAGGCCCAGGCTGTTGACACTTACACAGGCCTCCCTCTGGAGCCTCAGTCTGAGTTCATCATCAAGGTGCAGGACATCAACGACAACGAGCCACGATTTCCTGATGGTCCCTACAGCGCCTGTGTCCCTGAGATGTCTCCAACAGGTAGGACTGCTAGAAGTTGACTTAAGAGGGCATTTATTTTATTTATTTCATTTACTTTATTGGCATGAAAGTTTCAAGAAAACAATGTTGCCAGACCATCGAAATACAAAAGTACACTAATATTAATATGAATATTAACTCAACATTAAGGTCATGGACCGAGTGAATAGACCAGAGAGACAATGTTTATTTTTGGATTTTTTATTTTTATTTTAGAAAGGCAAAAGGAGGTAAAAAAAATACTTTTGGGTCAATAAAAAGATCAACATAACAGAACTAACAGAAGAGAGGTGAGTAGCACAAACAGACCTTTTCGACTGAGACATGGGGGAATCATATATGGTGGCTGATCAGGCCATTCACTCACAAACTGGCATAGACGTAACCATTTACACCAACTATAATCCTCACAAAACATGAACGTATATCGCTACCTAACATTAGGATGATACAATGCCAAAAACACTGTTTGTCCAAAGAATTAATATCAAAAATCACACGAGAAAATACTGCCCCTCCCCATGATGCAGGAGGAACATAGCATGGTCCAATTGACCATCAGCACTCTCTAAAACTTTAAGTAAATGAAACAGATGAAAAGCGTTACCAGCATGTCTCAAAACCGGTCAGAGTCAGAGAAGTTATTTCACCTGGCGTTATACAAAAAAACCAAATGTGGTCAAAGAGACCAGAGCTTAACCAAGAATGGACAGAATGTGAAATGTTAATTCTTCCCACAGTTCAAAACCAGGATGTCTCATGTGTTCAGAGACCTTGACGATTATTACAAGCAGCAATGTGAAGCACCACTATGAGACAAAGAACAACTCTTCTGAGCAAACCTACCCACTCAAATTCAAAAAGAGATGATCAGAATCCCAACACATTCATTCACTGGGAATGCGGCTGAAACAAGTGGTTTAGATAAGCACAGTCATAATCCCTGCAAACAATTTCCTCTCATTTTAAGCTGCAGGACAATTCAGTTAAGTTAAATATCATGAGTAGAATAATAATTACAAGCAGTCCAAAGGGAGGGCAGAGGTCACAAGCCATTTGACTGGCGCTCTCTTCACTGTTATAATCCTTTAGTCGTTGACTGGTGTGATTTTAGACAGGAAATAGACATTAAACTAGAAACTAAGCATTTTAACCCCTTGCTAACCTTTATAAACTAAACCATACATGGACGGATATTTCTAAATTAAGATTTTAGCTTCACCACGAACAAGCCGTTTTTTTCAAACAGGTCACATGTTTGTTGATTAATACAGCGTTAAGCTGCCAGTATGCTTCTTGTCGGAGGGTTGAACAGCTTCAGAACACCCTCCACACCTCTCGGTTATCAGATTAGAGGGAGCTGTGTATATTTTCTGTAACTTTCTGAAACCAATAATCTGGCATTCAACCCCCCCCCCCCCTTGTCTTCTCAATGCAACTTTGTGATCCTCTGCACCAGTGTGTTCTCATACATCTACACACTTCACAGGGACCTGCCTGATCAGATACAGGACTTTAATTCCTAAGGTTTTTGATTCACCTCAGTTCTTGGTTCAACTTGGATTTATTAAGTTAACACACACACTCACACTAAGCCAGACTTAGTGGCCCATCTGTCAGCTAAATGCCATTACTGAGAGGTAATTTAACAGTCAAGGTCTTTAGGCTTTAAGTTGTTAATGCTTCAGCTGAGAACCAAAGTGCTCTAAGAGAACAAGTGTGAGCCCAGTATGTTTCTGTTGCAGAGAAATACAGCAACAAACTGTATCTCGGATTAGCTGTGGTAGGGAACAGCAAGTATCCATATGATAAAAGCATAATCCTATCTATGAGGAATGCACTGCTAAGAATAGATGCAGCCATGTTTCTCTTTTTTTTTCCAAAGCTCCTGGAGGACCGTTTCCTGTGGAGCTGTGACTTCTCACGTTCTTTTTTTAAATAATACTCTTTCTAAAACATGCATTTGTATTGTAGCGGTACAGCTCTGTGCTGTTTCTTAAAGGGGAAACCCACCAATGTCACACATGAAGCTCACTTTAGTTGTCATGTGGAGAGCTACGTGGCTCCGGACAAATAACCCTGATGATGTCATTGGAGGAGAGAGGGAGGTAGAAATCAGTTAATGAAATCTCACCATGATGTTAATGTTTGAGTGACTTGTTTCAAAGTTGGTGGATAGAGTTGACAGACATAAAATGTAAAAAAGAAATATGAAAGGAAAGAACTTCAGAACTATAATGAGATTTCACCCAAAGAAACTTTTTTGGGAAATCACAAAGCAAAATTCACTTTAAAATGTTGCATAACGTCATCATTTCCAAATGTGTTGACGTGATGTTAAATTACCTTTTGAAGAGCTGAGACAGAAACACGGATGCTACTGTTTTGTCAGGACCCTTCTCAATTGTGTTTGGAGTCAGAGAGAAGTTTGTTGATTACTAGACTGGACATTCTATAACAATTACCCCGAAAGACATAGTCACGACATATGAATGTAATAATCCATTGAGTTACATGACAAGCATACATAATGCATGTACATAGATACCCTTATGACAAGCAAAAAGGGAAACTGACCATCTCATATTTTAGAGAATTACTTTCTCTAGTCCCCGATTAAGGTATATTGACTTTTCTGTTTTATATGTTTGGATACCTTATTTTTATATTGATTGTCTACTTTTACACACTGATAACTTAACTGTGTAAAAATGTCCATTGACCTGCTGAATGTCTGTCTGTGCAGAATGTTCAATAAAGACAAGAACTTGCTATTGAGATGCTATACAATGATTATTATTCTGTAGAGCCACAGCCAAGATGAATATTAATTTGATAAACACAGTGACACTTTGAAGATCACTCCCTGACTGTATTTTTTCCCTGTCCATCCAGAGTTTTGTCTTAAATTCATAGTTTTCAAAGACAACGTGCTAAAACAAGTCTACTGTAAGTGTCAAGAGTCAAAGTGGGGCTTTGAACTAGCTGAGACTGATGGCAGTGTCATAAACATCACCAACATAATTAATATAATGTGGTGGGGGGGCTCCTCCTGAAGTCCACTGTCCTCTCCACAGTTTTGAGCTTGTTCAGCTCCAGGTTGTTCTGACCACATCAGAGGACCAGCTGTTCAACCTTCGTATGTACGCAGACACGCAGACTCATCACCCTCTCTGAGGAGGCCGATGACCATTTCTTCTAATAGTTGTTGATACATTTCACTCAAACCACATGTGGACCTCCTGTGGTGCCATAGAACAGACAGATGACTGACAGCTTCAGCCTGAATAACTAAAAAATGCACCAGGACAAATCCTAGATGCTTGCCGTGTTGCCTTGACAATAAGGTGGTAACACACTATGTGCACTCACAGGACTCAGTGTCCTGACAAACCTCGACACTTTAGCACCGATCCACTGAACTGTGTGTCCATGTAAGTGTAGAATGTGTGTTGTTAGTTCAGGTTTTCCAGAGACTTTGATCATTTCAAGAGTCCAAATCTGATGTTGACTGTGTTTCATTTGTTTGGATGTTGTGTTCATTCATCCTGGGACTGATCAGCAACACATATGGAAGATAATCAGATTGTCTCTAAAGCTCCCTGTGTTGGCATTAACACAAGCTGTCATCTGAACCAAGCTGACACCTAAATACAATGTAACAGATACCGTTGTTTCTTTTTAAATATTTGTTTTGGGGCATCTCTCCCCCAGAGAAAGAGGTTGTACTCAGGTTATCACCCGGCTACCAAGGCGCTCCCCCTTAACAGCTATCTTAATGGTGAAGTGTGTAACACCTGGTGTAACACCACATGCTCCAAACAAACAAGCAGCATTTCACCTCCACTACTGGGTCCATACAATCTACATTTATAGTCACCAGTTATAAAATAGAAAGCCTTACAGCAGGGCAAGAACATGTCAAATTCAACCAAACTGGTTATCTTTTAATCTTCATGTGTAGCGTCGGCCTGAGGTTTACTTTAGCTAATCGGCTTATGCTTTGACTGTTTGTTTGTTGGATTAAATGGCAGAGACGAGAAAACCCATTTTTTTACCAATATGGTTATGATTGTGTCAGTCATGATTTGTCATGATTCTGCTCTTCCATGTCAATATGGTTTAGGTAGCCACATGTCTACCTAAATAATCCAATGTTTCAGGCAGCAGTATCTGCTGCATCTGGAGCCTTGTTTTACTCGTGTTCTTATTGTGCTGGACTGAATCAATGTCAGCCCATCGATGAACCCGACATACGTAAAACACTGTTACTACACGCTCTGATGCACTGATGATCATTAAAGGATCTCCAGGATCTGACACTGTATCAGTCACCATGATCAAATATGTCATTATAGTAAAAAAGTAATAATCTTTGGTTTATTTAATAAATGGAAGAAAATAACCTTTTACCAAAATATTTATTTTGTTATCTCGAAAAAACTTGAGACCTCGATATTCAATACACAGACAGAGATGTATTGTTCTGTTAGAAGAGAAAACACATAATTACATAACCTGTGTATGTGTCTGTGTTTGTTAAGGAACCTATGTGACTCAGGTGACTGCCACCGATGCAGATGACCCCACATATGGCAACAGTGCACGGATCGTCTACAGCATCCTTCACGGCCAGCCGTACTTCTCTGTGGACACCAAGACGGGTTAGAAAACGTTGATCGTCACGATTCCATTACTGCACAGCCATAACAAACCAAGAGTTATCCGCACAGTATAACTGCTCTGTGACTGCTGTGTGAACCCTCAGCTCAGTCATAACACAGCGAGTGAGTTTCTCCTCAGTCCTGCTGCTGAATGCTCAAACAAGCACTAAAGATTTTCAGTCCTATATCAGGCATCTCAGCTGAACGGTAAAGACTCTGAACAGTATGTCATGTTTGATTTTCACCCCGAGGAGCAGCATGGGTCACCCTCCTGCCTCTTCATAAGTACAGACTGCATCAGAGATTACGGCTTAAAACAACGAGGCTGTGACTGGTGAAAACGGTAGAAGAATGTTGGAAGCAATCAGCGACTGTGATTTTTCACTTTTCCACTTACAAGCCACTAAAGCTCTTCAACCTCAGTAAAGCGGTGTATATGAGAGAATTACCCCGACATCTCTGAATCCTCCCAACATTCTACCAGGTAGCTTCAGTCAGAAATAGATGTGTGCACGTCTTCACTTTGATTTGAGGAAGACTAACCTGATCCGCCTGATGGTTTGTTACACAGAAACTTCTTAGAAGCCGTCATTGTAAACTGTTTTGAGGAGGGCAGGGACTTTCAAGACTTACGTGGCAGCTGATTGGATGAGCCATCTGTCGATCAAACTCTGACCAAGCCAGTCGAGAGAAGATCAAAAGATCTTTTCCATGGAGAACAGCCTTCAGTGTCGTTCTTTGCTCTTCTTTCAATGAAGAAATACTCTGCAGCTCTGATAGAACTGATGCTATTGCTATTGCCATTGTTGTTTAGAACAAACAGTCACCTCTCACACACATCCTAAGCCACGCCCCTTGCTACCAATAGCTCTTCACAGGATTCTGATTGGTCCTTGCTCTGGCTTACCAGACACAAACATATTACTTGAACCTTGAAAGATCTTTTTTTTTGTGATATGTCATCAAAGTAAGAGGAAGATAATCTGTGTTTGAAATGTTATTAGTAATGACCATATAAGTATTCTGTCTTTTCTCTTCTTTGGTGTGCATCATTTTCCTTCTACTTACCTGTCTCTCCTCACCAGGCTACATGAGTAACCATGATAAGGTATTTTCTTCATACAATCACAAATATGCACAGTTTTCCAATATTTACATTCGTAAAGTTAAAAGTGTGTAGGAGGGGGAGGAGAGACAAAAAGATACAAATGGCGGACATAGTCTCGTAAGTGATTACGCCATGCGAGACTTGACAATGACGAAGGAGAGAGGGGAAAAAAAACGGACATAGTCACATACAGTAGTTACCTCATGCAATACTCCACAATGGCGGTGAGGCCGCAATTATTTAACGGGGAATAAGATACATATAATAAGATGTAGAATAAGATGTAACTTACACGTTACGTGTGAAAGAAATAAGGGTAACGGCGTATATGTGTGTGAGTGTGTGTTAGTTTGAAAAGAAGGAGAAAAGAGGAAGAAAGCTCTCAAAACAAGGCAGATCCTCACCGCAGCAGTAAAGTATAGTAACTTTAATATTATCACACAGAAGCCTGACTAGTGAACTCAGGTTTGGCAGCCGCAGCACTGAACCTTTAATTTCTAAAGTACAGTTTACCGACTTTACTCGCAATGGTAGATAGAAACAACAAAGCACAGCAGCGTGGAACAACGCTATCACAGCAGCAACAAGCACAACAGTTATGTTACACAACACTGAACGGGACTCAGTGGTCCGTAAAATACACACTAACACAGTTACACTTAAAACAAAACAAGGTTACAAACACTCTATGACCTATCTCTGCCCAGACAAAAGCCTCTTATTTAAGGTCGCTGAGTGGTAATTGGTTAGTTCTTCAAACTTGTTGGCGGAATTTCTCATTTCCTAGGATCGGTGATCGTGATTGCACTCTCTCAAGCGGTCAAGCGGCAAACTCATCCTCCGTATGACAGCGGGGATTTGTTCTTCGGACTTTTAGGCAGAATTTCTCCAATTCTAGGACCTGAGACCGACCCGGGTATACAGCGAGCTGATTCTAGTCATACACAACATTTGATGTATCATTCCATTACATTTCCATGTAATGCTGAACACTATCGTTCAGCATTACATGTTATTCACAGAGCTGCTCTCGAAGAAGCACCTTTCCCAAAACTGACCGGAAACCCTGATGAGACCGGGGAGCAGAGTTCTGTTGTCACAGTAATCTGAAAGGCACCGCTCATTCAGCAAAAAGGAGGCCACATTAACTGATGATAACTTCAGTCCCAACAACAAATACAAAAATGTACCCTTCGTTGACCAGTATAACCTTGCTTCTTAAAGATGTAAAAAAATATTTCCAAAAGAAAAAGCCAAATTTCAAAGATCAGCAGTCGAAAGTTACGAAGAATCACTTTATTTAATTGTATTAATATTAATTGTAGAATGCCAATTAGTCACATTAAAATGAATAAAACAATTTGTCAATTAAGCCCAATTTACCATATGACAAAAAAGATGAAGGGAGAAAATAGTGTCGGCTCCTTTTTTGAGATACACACCAACAATGTGAATTGAACATGTTTTTGTCTTTGTCACTAGACGAGCCCTGATCATGCACAGACAAGTTATGAATTAGCATTAAGTTAATGATGTATTTAAGTCCACCCTCATAATAGTAAAAAACACTAAAACTGATTTAGTAATTATATCAAACTCAACATTTGAAGTGATATGTACCACATAGCCCCTTATTCTGGGAGAACAAAGTCTGCAGGGCGCTGGGTAGCTTTTCATCCCAGTGTTTCAACGAATAACTGCTCCGAGCCCTTTTTTATATTTCATTATCTTGATAACATATCGCACTACCATCGCTCTTTTGCTTTGTTTTATCTATTTGGGCCATTAAATATTTGTTTTACATAGTGTTTTCACCATGAGCATCAACCGGAGGATGTCTGCTTCATACTTCTTGCTTCTTCTGGATCCTCCGCACGTCGTCCACAGATCTCTGATACACAAGTTTATCACTCACAGGTCCACACAAGTAAGACACAAGTCTATTAGAATCACAGATCATTGATACACAATACGTAAATACAAACCAGTTTAAGACAACTGTCAAAAAGTGCTTAAGAGGAATGCATTTTTTAAAACACCAAGTGTTGGTAAGCGTCCACTTCCTGTGGTGGTTTATGGTAAAAGTCTACCCCTGCCTTCACGTTAAAGCACATACTATATATTATAAGCAAGAAATGCTTGATTTGTTTCTGTTGAAATGACCTTTGTCTTGAATTTGTAATTTTTTTTTGTATTACATTAGATATGCATTACTAAATGTCAGTGGTGGGCCGTCAGGGCCAGCAAGGCCTTCTCTGCTGGCCTAGACAGAATCACAAAGTTATAGCTATTTTATAATTTAATCATTTTTCATAAATACACTACATGTATTAGTATACTTCTTACTGGAACTAAAACCCACGGATATACTGAACAACCGTGGGATTAAACTCTTTATTAACAAAAAAAGGAGGATGGACTTTGTCTTTAAATAGTGAACAGCAGCTTTGGTAAGTGAACTGCGTTTGTTTTTCCATCTGCAGTAGCTTTAATATGCTTGTTTATATATTATTATATATATTATATATTATATAACTTGTTTTTATGAAGATGGATTTTTGTTTGGTTTTATATGTGATAGGAACTATTGTTACGTCCAATGTTGCTCTGGGGACACATTTAGTCGGTGCCAGTGTTGCCAACTTGGCGACTTTCTCGCTAAATCTGGCGACTTTCCAAACCCTCATGGCGACTTCTTTTGTCAAAAGCTACTAGTGACAAATCTAGCGACTTTCTCTGGTGTTATTGGAGACTTTTCTGGTGTTTTGACTCTGATGTGAAAGCACGTACCGTTCTACAGTTACTGTCGTGAACGAGCAGCGGGTGCTGCCGTGAGCCGCCCCAAAGCACTCACAGGCGGCTACTCACGCAGCAGTCCCAGCTGCAGTCAGAGCAAAGAGGAGACGCAGTCTCGGCGTATTCATGTATCTGCACTCTGCAGTTTAGTGTATTTATAGGTGTTGAGCTTCATTATTACACCAAACAAATAATAACCGTAGCTGTGGCGTCATAATGAGGACAGCAGTGAAGGCCCAGGTATAAAATACACAGCCCGCCACTGCTGAATGTGAAACAATTAAAAACAAAAACATCCTTATAAATTATTCATTATGCATTTGACAGTGGATTTGGTTTGATCAGATTTGATTGACAGTGGCCTGGTTGACAACACAAGCAAACAAACCCACAACTGTCATCAGATGGGATTCAGATGTTAGTAAAATCAAATGACATCTCCTTTTCCCAACTGAGTCTTTCCTACTTCAAATCACTGAGAAGAGCACAGACAAAACCTAATATAGAGAAAATCTCTCATGCGAAACAAAGAAAATCTGTTCTAACTTTGGCAAAGAGCGTCTTTATGTACAACCTCAGTAAGACGCTGATTTAAAAAAAAAGGGTTTCAGCCTTTCGGCCTTTAAGTCCACCACACGAAATAAATGGGCCAGAAAAGTATTGTGCTGGCAATTACTAAGGTCCGTGTTCAGGGGATTGTCATGTTACCACACCAGAATGAGTGAAAACCATGTGCAGATATTCACAGGTACCATCCACAGCACTGACCAGTGGCTTTAGTAGTCGACTACCTGACCAGTTGATTGATTCATGTTTGATTATTTAGTTTGTTTGTTTCCAATGTCAAGAATGAGATTTGTGCTAAAATGGTTTGTATGATATATCCTATTATATTTGAATATTGACTTGTAGAGTTGTCCTCATGAAAAGAACTCAAATAAAGTGCAGATAAAGCCAAAAGGCTTCAATGTCTTACATGCTTTTTTGTCTGGATAGCTGCTTAGAGCACAGCAGCACACACCTCTAACCATTTCATCAAACCAGGGAATCTGTGCTCTCGTTGACAGGGAGTCCTTCACCTTGTTTTCACCTGGTCTTAGGAACCTGTAGGACATCGTTCAGCTCTCTCTCTCCTGCTGTGCTGTATCTTTGGCTGTCCTTGCCTGAATCAATGCAGCCCTTTGTTCAACTATTTATACAGCACATTTCTAGTCCTCCCACCACTCATAACACTGTTTCATCACTCAACCATTCACACACAGTTATACACTGATGGCAGAGGCTGCCAGGCAAGGCTCCAACTGACCATCAGGAACCCTATATGGAAAGCTAAATCATCGTTATCAACCCTTTTCAACCCCTCCTCCTCTAGGAGTCATCAGGACAGCTCTAGCCAACATGGACCGCGAGGTGAAAGGGGAGTACCAGGTTCTTCTCCAGGCCAAGGACATGGGAGGTCAGCTAGGGGGGCTGGCCTCCACCACCACCATCAACATCACCCTCAGCGACGTCAACGACAACCCACCGCGTTTCGCTAAGAGTAAGAAAGTCCCAACAATGATCTGTGATTGGTTGATTGCTTCTAACTGAAGAACCCAGCAGTGTTGCCAATTATTTCCCAGCAGCGAGCAGCACTAGCTCTCAAATGTTGCTAAATCAAGCGAGAAAGGTGCCAAGTCGGCAACACTGACAGCCCTTCAGGCCTCCTTCCAAAGCCACTCCCACAAAATTATCATGAATGTGAACAACAAACATGGCTACTGATAGTATTCACGGCTGTCAAGCTAGCAGCTTGTGGAAGACTCTATGGATTAGATATCTGGACGGTTTTATTACAGTCCTGCAACAAACAAGGATAACAGATTTTTTATTTTTATTTCGTCAGACCATTTGATTCATTCATTGCTGTCAGGATGTAATGAATTCAACAAAAATATCTAAAATGTTTTTTTTATTTTTATATTATCATACCTACCTTTTAAGATGAATGAATAAAATCGGTCTCTTTCAGTTTTAAATTTGCACTTAATTGCTTTTTGCTCTCTTCCCGTCTCCTCTGTCATTCTCTCAGGTATTTTCCATCTGCGGGTTCCAGAGTCGGCGTCAGTCGGCTCAGCAGTAGGTCAGATTCGAGCATTCGATCTGGATGCTGGCAGCAATGCAGACGTGGAGTATGCCATTGTTCCAGGAGATGAGGGCACCATGTTTGACATCATCTCTAACAGCCAAAGTCAAGAAGGAGTTGTAGTCTTGAAAAAGGTACATTAACACATCATCGGCTGCACTTTAGCTGTTTTTGTCACAAAGACAAATACTGTACTGCACCAACTCGATATGCATGATGATTATGTGTGTGATGTCTGGCAGCATGGCAGGTATGAACTAATTGAGGTTCATGCCAGCCAACATGGGCTGTCTGTAAATACGGCATACCATAGAACAGCATAACTAATTCCTTCAGGCCCTCTTGCTACTTCACAGTCGACAGTGGCATGTGACTGGTTCTTGTGAGTTTGTTCTTGTCATTGTGTTAATTACATTGATTTTGACTATATGCGTTGCCCGTTAATGACGAAGCATCTCGTCATGCTGCCTCATAGTGATATACCAGCATCCTTTATAGCTTTGCGCATATTCATGTGGTTCAGCTGTAGTCGGACAGCACTGAAGGCCCAGGTATAAAGGTTTAGTCATTTTAAACTCTGGTCATTTAGTCCAGTTATATTTGAGTTAAACTCTGAACATATCTGTTATATCATTCTAATTTTTGTTGATATAAACACGAAACATTTTAGTGTTATTTCAGTCGAATTAAACTCAACATTTTAAAAAACTTTTGGTCAACTTTAGGCAAAAAGCTGGTGCACAAAATCTTACACTAAATGACATGTTTTATTAATGCAACTTTGTAGAGAGGGTGTCTAATCTGACGGAATATATTTCGGCAAAACTTCCAGACATGAAACATGCACTATATTAATAGATTTATTTCTTACCAACTCTATTGCGGCCCCGGGATAAGTGAAGCATACTGTCTTTACAACAGAAACTATTGATATCATTATGTTTACAATAGTTTGTACACTAAAATGTTGATACATTTGGTTGAAAACAATTGTATTGTTTTTGCATGCAAGGCAATATAAGTTGTGGAAGGCTACATCCCAGCTTAGTTTATCTAAGCCCCAAACCAGTTTCACATGAAATGATTATGAGTAGATGTTGCACACACTTTACATTGTACTGGTCTGGACCTGACTGTTAAATGTGTGCAGCAATTATATTGTGCATGCTTTATTATGGATTCAGCTTTTGACTTGTAAGTGCAGCTAAACCACAATAAGTAAGCAATGTCCAGTTGTTGTGAAAGTTATTCATAGTGTTACACCACTGCAATTTGTAACTCAGCTAACTAAAGTTAATTTAAGTTAAAAAGCAAAGTAACGTTATAAAACATCTTATTGTTGCTTAATTTCAGGTCAGTTTCCTTGTGTGCCTCGGTGTCTATGTTTAGACACAACTGATGAATGAATAACCACAGTCACAAACAGCGGTGACATTAGGCTGTTTATTAATATAGTGGATAGAGAGATTTGGAAATGTCATCATTCGGGGGATAAAAATTGAGGGGAATGGAACCTCCAGTAATTCAGCAGGGCAACTCTTGCTGAAGAGCCTGAGCTCTGTGCAGCGTGTCCTGTGTGAGTGAACAGGACGAATGGTTCCCATGGGCACCCAAAGGACGCAGGCAGCGCTCCTCTGAAAATAGGGACACCTCTGCGTCCACGGTGAACCCGGTGCTATGATAAATGAATGTATGCTTGCTCCAAAGAAAGGCCGGTCCTCTCCGAGGTTGAGGTGAATGAAGGTATCAGTATAGACGGTGTTGCAGCATAAAGACACGGATATTACCTCAATGTTTTCCCTTTCTAAATATGTCGCCAAATACCTGCAGAGCTGTGGCTTAAAGGGCTATTCTGACTGAGAAATAGTACTAAAACTGTATTATTCCGTCATCAAATTGTTAAAAAGTTAGAACGAAAGGCAGATTTTGCAAACTCCAGCATTTTGCCAGTGATCTAAGAGAGGAAGGGATGTGTTGATCTGACTGTGATCCTAATCGTGCTTCCTCTTAACCTTCCACTGAACCGAGCCATTACACTCGCACACAAACACACACTCTCATGCACACAAATCAGTCTTTATTCTGCAGCGTCAGCCATTGGATTCCCCTGATGATTTAAGATCACTGCTATACAGTATATCGGAAGAACAGGGAAGAAACTAAAACAAGAAAGGATGGTGGAAGGAAAGCGAGGGAACTCAAAAGAAAAGAGGGAAAGACAGACACCACGGTTCATTTAGGATTTGTTTTTCTTCAAGTACATGACAGTTGCTCCAGGAGGACCACTGCAGGAAACTAGATCTTAGAGGAAAGCTCTTCCAAAAAGAGTCATCCGAGGACTTGAGAAAACTTCCAACTCCCCACTCACACACACAACTGGAACACACAACGCACATGTCACATCACATCAAGCAGTTTAACATCAGAAGGGCTGCTAAGGCTTTTATTTCAGACTGTCCTCTAAATCAGATCAGACACCACAGCTACTTGGTGAGCGTGCTGTGCCTCTTATGTTTGCATTGAGAGAAGCCATGGCTCTCTGTGTGGCCATTCGGTCCCTGCTCATTGCTCTAAGACAAAGAGGCAGTTGTCAAGCATAAGTTGACCCACCATCACGAAACATTTCCATCACAAACACTGAATTAAACATCTCCATCAGACAGCAGAGGTGGCAGTGTATTACAACAGTCAGCTGAAACTTTGAGGTGAACCCAGTAGCTGTTAACTGATGCCTCCTCCACATTCAGTATCAGTCCAAGTGTGTATGTGCAAAGTGAGAGGACATGTTTAGAGTTGGATAAGATAGTGTTGCTCTGAATGCAGGGTGGACTAGGTGCAGAGATGAGCAAGGGTAGAGGGTAGAAGTACAATTTCAAGCTGTGTAACAATGTGCCCACTAGACACTACACTCACTACTTGGTATGTAGACTCCATACTACAGGCCCAGGTGTGTTTCCACCTGTCTGGGAGGAAGTCTTAGCCTGTTGTGTTTGTGTGGATCTCAGTATTTGAAGCCAACGGGATTGATGGAGACTTTTAGCCAGAACACTTTAGGAGATTTGAGGTACTAAAGCCACAGATGAGCCACATCATACAGGTGGACACAGACCTCTGAGGAGATACCCGATGCATCCCCCACCACGCTGTATCATAGGAAAGAAAAACAGGGTTCACTATATCTCAGAGGTAAATATTCTACATTTCTCTGACAGCTTTTGTTAACTGTCAGGCTGTAGAGGCTGAGGAAAAACAAAGCATGTGTATAGTGTTTTGATATACAATTATTCAATTGTGTTTCTTTTGTAAATAACGGAGCAGAGCTGTCAACTGATCACCACCTGGTGGTGAGTTGGATCAGATGGCAGGGGAACCGGTTGGAAAGACCCGGCAA